AAGAAGTAGAAACCCTTTCTGTTCAGATTTCTTCTTAGCATTCATATGAGATTCCTTCCTTTCAGAATAAATATAATTACCAAGATGTCCAACTCCTGACAATCTTTAGTAAAAGACATGATTTAGGCCTGTATAGAGAAATTTCATAAAAGCTCTCTGAATTAATTACTAAGTGGAAAATAGGGAGAGGGAAGAAGATTCTTTTCTGAAACCAGGCGGGGGGGTCCCTTATTCTTCTGTTAGCATTACTCTACTCTACATTTTTAAGATTTGTTTTTATTGGAAAGGAAGATTTATAGCGAGAAGGAGAGACAAAAAGAAAGATCACCCATCAACTGGTTCACTCCCCAGATGGCCACAACAGCCATAACTGAGCTGAAACAAGGAGCCATAAGCCCCTTCAGGTGTCCCATGGGAATGCAGGGTCCTAAGGCTTTAGACCATCCCCCACTGCTTTCCCAGGCCACAAGCCAGGAGTGGGATTGGAAGTGGAGCAGCCAGAGTACCAACTGGGACCCATATGGGATGTGGAAGGTTCACCAATTGAGCCAACATACCAGCTGCTACTCTGAATTTCTGATAGTCACCAAGAAAGAGTCTGCTTTCAGATTGAGCTCAGGTTTCAATCCCTAGATTTAATTTCAGGCTGTGAACACAACTAAGGTAAAGCAGGATTTGTAGTTTTTCTTCCCAGTGGAAAACCAAGGACCAGCATTATTGTAAAGTGAATTGAGCCACAGCTTACAATATTGTCATCCCACAGTGGGGTGCCCAGCCATACAGTTTTCTGTCCAAATACGCCCCAAGATACCTGCGAAAGTAGCAACAGATGAACCAAGTACTTGCACCTCCATGTGGGAGACTGGGATTATCCTGGCTTTTGCCTGGCCCAGACCTCAGCTTCGTGGCTATTTATGGAGTGAACCAGTCCCTTGAAGATAGATCTGTCTTGCTGGCTCACTCTTTCCTTCCTACCCTGCCATCTCCATCTCTCTCTCTCTCTATCTCAATATTTTTCTCTCTGTCTGTCTGTCTCTCCCTGTTTCCATCATTTTGATTTTCAAACAAATGAATCTTAAAGAACAAAGGATAAATGACAGAACAACAAATTTTGCATGTGGAATAATAAAAATTCCATTTTATTAGGAGTATCTGTGTTTAACTCATTAGCCTTTTAATTTGGATTTTGGAAATCCAGTAATATTAAAAAATTGTTGAAAATGAAACTTCCTTAAAATGTTTAAAGTAACACATTGAAAGTTTTAAATGTTTAAAGTGATATATTCATTTTGCATATGATTATTATGTCATTTGAAGAGAAACAGGTCAACTTTGCTGTGGGTATGGCAAATCATCAGGTTAGGCTGTCATTTAGGAATACCTGTATCCTATATCAGCATGCTAACTTGAGTCTCAGTTATTTGGCTCCAAACATATATGCCTGTTAATGCATCCTTGAGGCAGGAGATAATAGTGCAAATGCTTGGGTGGACTGTGCCACACACACCAAAGACCTGATAGCGCTTTTAATTTTTTCGCCTGACATAGCTCTGGCTGTTGTGACTCTCTGGGGAGCAGACTAGCAAACCACTCCTCCATCTCTGGGTTTGAGTCCCAACTACAATCCTAAGACACACTCCATGCTGTTGTATGCTCTGGGAAGCAATACGTTATGGTTCAATGATTGCGTCCCTGGCACCCATGTAGGAGGCCTGGATTGGGTTCCTTACTGCTGGCTTTGACTGGCACTGTGCCAGCTATTGCAGACCTTTGGAGAGTAACCAGAAGTAAGGGATCTCTCTCTGTCTCTCTCATTCTCCCTTTCAAATAAATAAATCAGAAAAAAGCAACCTCAGGTACACTAAAATTATGTGTATCATTGCCTTCAGGACATATATATAAAAGGAGTGTGTGAAGTGTAAGTGTAATTCATGTTTAAGTTTTCATCTCCTTCCCAACGTAACTCCTTATTTTTATGCAAATATCCAAAATACTTCTGCTCTGAGGTTTTCAGATAAGGTGATCTCAACCTACTTTAATTTTAATATTGGTTAAGGAAAATGCATCTTCCTGTCTTTGTTTTATCCTCCAAATGCCCAAGAACTGGAAACATAAACCAGACCTCCCGCATGAATGGCAGGGACCCAAGTACAGAGCCATCACTGAAGCCTCCCAAGATATGCATTACCAGGAACTTGGAATCAGAAATGGAGCCAGTGGGCAGCATATTAACCACTGATGTTCCAGCAGTGTTTTAGCCACTGCACTAAATACCTGCCCCTCCTAAATGACTTCATCCTCCACCGGACTCCTTTAGCTCCCATATGTCCCAGTTGGACAAATGCAGTAATAAAAATTGAATTTCTAGTCCTTTAATCATCAATGTTGCTGTAATAATCTCTGCTACCCCAATGCTTTGCACTTGCTAAATGTACATGCCATTTTTAAAACCAAAGGCAATTTGCATTTTCTTTTCATGTACAAGGCCTTTTCTCTAGAATAAATGGAATATTTTCGAAAGTCACTTTTTTTTTTACTTTGTCACTCAAAGTTCAATTCATAGCCAACATTTAAAGTGGTCTTTGAATTTGCCATGCATGCTCATGTTAGAAAAGAGCATATTTTGCCAAATAATTATCCTAAATAATACTGAATTTTGGAGAATGTTATTTCAAGTTCACCAGCTTTGAAAGAATGATCTTTTTAAGCACTATCTATAACCATTGCTCAAAAATATTTGCTCAGATCTTAAACATTAAAAAAATTAGGCAGTTGAATTGAGTCCAAAAATCATAGAATAATTATAAAATACTAATTATCAAATGTATAAACTCCTGACTTGAAAAAGAAAAGTAATCGAAGATATTTTTTTATTTAGTCATCCAGATTTCTTGTGGTATACACAACCAGCAACCTTTTTTTAAATGTTCATCCACTTCCATTTCTATAACAAAAGACCATAGTCTGTATCATTTGCAAAACAGAGTTTACTTAGCTCACAGAGCATGACTTGGCGTCTATTTGGGTCCAGTATGTATTTCATGTTGACTTGTTGAAACGGTATTTAGGGGGAGATGCAAGTCTCCTTTATCACAGCCCATTCTCATAGGAAATAGCACTCCTGCATCAGTTCATTCAACATCGTTCATGAGAGTAGAGCCCCCACAATTAGACAGCCTGCCCCCATTTCCTTGCTGCTGTGGCTGGGGATGAGGCTTCCAGCACATGAACCTCAGGGTAACAAATCTTAGCAATGCCTGTGATTCCCAGCCCTTCAAAGGAGAGCACTTGTTAACTGACAGTGGCTGATTTTGTCAAGGCAAAGACCATGAGTTTTACCTTAGGACATCAATCATCTGTGGTCTGTCCAAAAGTTTTCTCATTAACTGGATAAATTTCTCAGGTTCTTTTCATGCTTTAAAAATTATCTCTTGGGATTTTATTCCCTCACCCATTATTGAATTTCCAATAGACTATAAAGAACAAAGAACAAGCATTTTTTTTTAAAATTTTGCATTTTTTTTATTTTACATTTGAAAGCTTACAGAGAGACAAAAGATCTTGCATCCGCTAATTGACTACCCAAGTGGCCACAATGGCCCAGAGCTGTGCCAATCCTAGCCAGAAATCATGAGCTTTTCCCAGGTCTCACACAGGTGCAAGGCTTTCCCAGACCACAAGCTGGGAGCTGGATGAGAAATAGAAGCCAGCACCTGTTTGGGATCTCAGTGCATGCAAGGCGAGGATTTTTCTACTAGGCTATCATGCCAGGTATCACAGGCATTTTTGTGTATTTTTTCACTATCATTTTCCAAAACCCAGAGCTGTGATCAGAAATATGTATCAGATTACTAAATAACAGTTACTGAATGACATATGTGTGAAAATAATGGGAAGCATAGGCCTGTCCTCAAAGAACTTACATGTGGAAAGTGTAACAGGTTGATCATGAAAACAAATACCAGATTTCCAATGGCATAGTGCTATAAATCACAGGTATCCAGTGCTGGGAAACTACAGATCGAGTTGGTCTGGCAGAGAGAGATCTAGAAAGGGCTCCCAGAAGATGTGCTTGAATTGAGAATGGGAGAATGTATAGGTACTATTTGAAGGAGAGAGGATGAAATTTCTATCATGTTCAGTTTAACCAAGTTCTTTTCTTTCCCTCTCACTCACATATTTCTCTTTGAAGCTCAACTTGGTACACTCTCCCTGTTATTTCCTGCCACTGTAGTTTGCCAACTACTCATGGACTTGTGGATAAGTCATAGGTATATATAGAACTACTTTTAGGAAATGGCCAAAACTTTCTCTTGTGCTAAATATACTAGTATTATTTTTAAAGCAAATAATGATATATGGAGCAGAAAAATTAACAATGAAGATTTTTTTCTTAACATGAATGACAGGTGATTACATAGGTCTTTATGATTATGTGCTAAAATGAACATTGTTGCATGTATTTGTCTATATGCATACTCACACTAACACATATAAAGAAAACTGGCAAGTCAATGAGTTATGGAATAGAATAGAACAGACCAAATTTAAATCTAGATTAGGTCTATATGAACCAATGGAAAGAAGCAAGCAACTGGTAAATCCTGATTGTAGAAAAGAAGAGATGAGGTTATGCTGGCTACTCTGAAATGGCTAGCTCCATGTCAGAAATTGAGTGGCCAGAATGGAAAATTATGATACTCCTTTCTCTGTGTTTTTGACAACCTGTGCTGATGTGACCTCCACTAGTGTCACTGCAGGACAAGATGCTTAGCACTACACATTGCAGAACTCCATAGGACCAAATGTTTTTATAACCTTTCTAGTGGAGCTCCTGTGCCCAGACAGATGCCACTATGCCATCTCTTCTAGTCATCATCGTGAACATACATGCCACATGTGCATGATCTCAGAGACAGCTGCCTGTTTATCAAATGCTATCAGAAATGAAATCAAGAATCACACACCTTTGTTGTTAACAAGCCGCCTTGGTTTTTCAGCGTCGACTGGGAGATGCAGCCAAGAAAGCCATCAGCAAGCTCCAGATCAGGACCATCAAGAAGGGTGACAAGGTAACAGCCCCTTCTGTTTGTGGTGAGGGATTATTGAGAGCAACTCCAAAATGTTCTGACAGCCAGGAAGAAGAGAGAGAAGGTTAAGATAGGGAAGTAGCTGCATGCTAACAGTTGTCCAATCAGGATCTGTTACTCATACTTTTTCTTTTTTTAAGGGATTTACTTATTTTTATTAGAAAGTCAGACTTATGGAGAGAAGGAAAGACAGATAGAAAGATCTGTCCACTCATTCATTCCTCAAGTGGCCACACAGCTGGAACGGAGCCAATCCAAAACCAGGAGCTAGGAGATTCTTCCAGGTCTCCCACACGGGTACAGAGTCCAAAGACTTCGAGCCATCCTAAACTACTTTCCTAGGTCACAAGCGTGGAGCTGGATGGGCAGTAGCGAAGCCAAGACATGAACTGGCGCCCATATGGGATCCCAGTGCTTACAAGGCAAGGATTTATCCACTGAGCCATCACACCAGACCCATTCATACTTTTCTCTAGTATAATTTAAAGCAGTTTACAAAATGCATATCATAATCATAATTTGAAATAAAAATGTGAGAAATTCAAAGGTAAATGTGTGAAAAAAAAATCAGTGAAACCAGAATGTAATTTGTATAGAAATATAGTACTTGAAATATGTAAAAAAAAAAATGAGTCCTAAATTTAGGTTAGAGCTTTCTAGCAGACAAGACAAAGAAGGAAGTAAATCTCAATATTCAAACACTATTTATTTAATTACATTATTGTAGTGTCCCACAAGATTAAAAGCAAAATGTTTTGTCCTGACTTTTGACCCAAGAGTGCTTCTTCCTCGCAGAAAGACAGTATTATGTGCTGAGCTCTTTTCTGCACTGAGGTCTCTCATATAAATACAGGAAGCATATTCAGTCCCTCCAAAACCTGGTGTTCATAAGCTCAGCATCATTGCAACATTCTCCTTCACTGTAGAGTGATGGCAGGAAGCCAAAAGCAATAGTAGATTTGGAGGAGGGACAACAAGGCAGTCCAGGCCTGCAGGTCTAGAAGGGCCTCTCTTCCTCAGGAGGAGTGTTAGAGCAGTGGATTACAACACGTGCGCCGGAGATCCTTGGAGCATTGTTAAGGGGGTTCACAACCTCCACATACACACTGGGTATGGTCGCTAGCCTGAAGAATCATTTTGTTTCAGAAAGGATGTACTATTATCTTTTACCCATATAAAAATACTGTTGGGCTTAACTCCTCTGAAACATTTGCTAAATTTAAAATGCTCTTTTTAACACTATTTCACCCACTGCTTGGCCAAAAAACTAATCATGAAAATGCAAAGATTTGCATAAGTTAACATGGTATGTGATATTTGGAGAGAATAATACGTTGAGGAAGTTGGAATACTCTTTGATGTTTATGTGCTATGTTTATTCTATACACTAGATTCCAGAGAAATCGCTCAGACATGACTTTTTATCCTGTACAGGTTGATCTGTGATGTCTAGTTATCAGTAATAACATCAATATTAATGATGCATTAGAAAATAGTTACAGTGGAAGCTAGAAATGACAGTGGAGGTGGGAACTGTGTCAGTGGTCAGTAAATTGTTCATGGAGCAGGATTTAGCACCAGGTCTATTAAAAACCTTGCTCCCACCACAGGCCCACCTTTGGTGTGCTGTTTGGGTGTTTGCACTTGAGTGGTGAAGCTCATCTGTGCTTCTTTCCTCTGTTCCAGGAAACAGAGCCCGATTTTGACAACTGTGCAGTTTGTATTGAAGGTTACAAGCCCAATGACGTGGTCAGGATCCTGCCCTGCCGGTGAGTTGCTGGGCTGCCTGCCTCTCACGGGGTCCTGTGTGCTCAGACCTGCCTGGCCTAGACCTGTAAGATCAGTCTGCCCCCCACATGTCGCCAGGCATGTACACATAGGCCTCCACAGTGTTTTGCACGTGAAGTTAGAAACATGATTCTGATTCCCTGTGTCCTGGGCAGGATGTACTCTGCTCTGAACTAGAACTTGGTGACCCAGAACTCCATGCCATGGCCCCAGGTGTTGAGCTTTTCTGAACAGCAGCTCTGTGATGTAAAGAACCAATTGTGATTTTTGTCAGTGTTGTTTTAGTTAAAATCCTCTTAAAACGTATCTTGTGAATGACCAGGAAGAGCTCAGCTTTCATAACTCAGTCAGGAGTAAGTAGAAAGGGAAAGGCAGAGTCTACCTTTTAATTTTACTCTGAGTATGGTACATTCCACCCAAATTCTAGAATCTTTCAAAGTGTGCCAGCATGAGGTTCCGGGAAGACTTCTCAGGTGATTTCCAGATAACCCACACCCCTGTCCCAAATGAAAAGCCAATGTTGAGATGTCTAAGTTACTTTTAAATTGTCAAAATTCAATAAAGATAAATGTCTTAATAGAATCAATATTACAACAGTGCTTAAAAGCTGTCCTCCTTAATGGAAACCCATTTTAGCATTTTGCATCTGTTCAAGTGTCCTAAAAATAATAATGAAATTACTCCTCAAGGAATGGCTGCACATGTAGAAAGGCTGGCTTTTGAAAGTAATAGAGTTTGAAAGTAAGTAAAGTGGAATAAAAACACCCCCAAAGATAGGCAATCATCTATTTGGTAGTAAAATAATGCAAATTCAAGAGCTATTGGTTAAGCGTTTAAAAGGAACAAAATATGGCTTGAGGAAGATCTGATAATGCCAAAATGACAAAGAGTTAGCCAAAAATAAAGAGCAAGATAGACAGATAGCAGGTCTCCCAAGGGAGATGGGGTCTTAATGGAAGTGCTCTCAGGCCAAGGCATCATTAGGAAAACAGGCATTAGGAAAGTACAGGCGGGTGACCTCAGCCAGAGCCTTCAAGTGTAATTCACTTTCCCTTAGCGGACAGATGTCTGGCAAAGGCGAAGTTACCTATCCAGATGCAGGAAGACTGGCTTGTTTCCTCTGTAGGACATGCCATAACATTCATTTTTGAAGTTGCACTTAGTGTTTCCTTCATGACTTCCAGGAACCTGGGCAGTGGGTGAACTGCACACAGTCCACCAGGGTACACTCTGTCATCACTGCAGCCTCCCACGTAAATCTCTGTTACCAGCAGGGGAAGTGCCTTCCTGTCCTTTTGCACCTGGAGGCGTTTGGCACCTGTGAGAGTATTACTAATAAAAACGAATTTCAAGCAAGTTAAAGTGACTATTTTTTCCTAAGAATCTGAAAGGCGCTATGATTTTAATGAGCAAAATGTTTTTAAATTATATATACATATATATTTAAAAGTGTGTAAAGATTTTATATAACAAAACATTTCCATATGTATGGCATTAGTTTAGCACTGTAATTCATAATTTAAAGTAATATATTCATTTAGAGCCCTGTGATGAATAAATTTCATTTCATCATGTAATTGCTGGAGGTTGTATAGTAGCCAAGTCATTAGTGCTCCACAACTTAATTTACCTTGGCCTGTTTTGGAACATTTGAATGATTTAAATTTTTAATTATAACAAATTATTTTTGCTTTAATAAAGTTTAGAATTTTATGATACGTTATTCCAGATCTGCTTTTTTAATTTTTCTAAATAACAGCAAGAAGTATCACCTGAATAATTACTACCAAAAAACTGAACTATGGAAGCTTTCGTTTTTTTAACCGTTATAATTCAGCAGTTCAGTTTGGTCTCAGGTTCCCCCCGTCCCCTTTGTGTGTAGTTATTTGGTTCTCGGCTCATTCCTTGATTCTTTTTGCTGTGTATCTACCTGCATTTCCTCACTGAGAATTCTGCTTTGAATAACTAAGTACATATAGCATTACCAAGTAAAGGATGCAGTTAATTACTCTTTGATCTTACACTGTTGTACGTTTTTTATGCTGATTTTAAAATCAAGATATTTTTATGGCTGCTGCTGATTTCTGCCAGACAGTTTGCTTTAATGGATGTTATCAGTGTCCTGGCATTTGCTTTGTGCTGGATGATTTCCTCTGGGGTATTATGCAGCCTTGGCCCCTGTGAATTTCATAGACACTCTTGTCCATTATGTCTCGGCTGACTCATCCCCAGAATTCTTTGGAGTCAAACCACTTCACAAATATCCCAGTGTACCATTTCTGTTGGCTCGTCTTTTTCTGTGGCCTCAAAGCTCCTGCTTTACATGGGCATGTCTTCTGTATAGTTACCACGTAGCATGGCTTTCCGAATGACCCCAGTATATTCTTGAACTATGATATCTTTAAAATTATTCTGTTATTTGTCTCTTTCTAAGTCTTTTACACAAGTCATAGTGAATTAGTAAATGCCTTTTTTTTTAGTTTCATCTCTTCCAAATGCTTTTGTCTTATTAAATTCTTCATTGACTCATAGATCATGCAGTAGCATCATTTTCTTTTTTCATTTCTTCAGTGACGCATTAGTCATTCATTAGCATGTTATTTAACTTCATGCTGTTGTTAACTTCTTTTTTTCTTCCTGTTGTTGATTCTGTTTTGTGGCTTTTAATTTAAGGGTATATTACAGTATCTTACAGTATCTTACAGTAACTTTGTAAGAGACTATCATATCCAGTAGCATGTGATTTGACTTCATGGTATTGTAATTTTCTCTTTTTCTTCCTGTTGTTGATTTTGTATTGTGGCTTTTCATTTAAGGGGATATATAGTAACTGTGTAATGGAAACTATCATATCCGGATATGAGGATACAATGCAATATGCATTTCTACTTCCAGATCAAAGATGGACTCCCATTGAAACTGTTTACTATATCTTGACAACAGGATGATGGACTCTCTGTCCATGCCTGCAATTATGGACATATGACTGTTTATGAAGAATTATACTATAGTAATAGTATAGGGAACTCAGTTAGGGGACTTGGGAATGGGTAAGGGAAATCCCACAGCCTATTGAACTGTATCATAAAATGATAATAATAATAAAAAAAGAAAAAATAAAACAAAGCTAAAAAGGATGGCTTTCCAAATCACCGAAGTATATTCTTGAACCATGACATCTTTAAAATCATTCTATTATTTGTACCTAAGTCTTTTACACAAATCATGGTGAATTAGGTGTGTAAATGCCTTTCTACCTTGACTTATAGCCATGGTGATTACCAGTATGAAGTCACATAATACATATATATTCTGTCTTCACCTACTTCTGCTCTAACACGTGAGGGAAGATCTCTGTGAGTGCGTACGTACATACTATGCAGGATGGACACTTAACAATATGTGAAGCAAATCAGGCAGATGTAACTTCTTCGTTGGAATTTGCTCTCAATATGCCACGCAGAATTTCCTATTGCTATATTGTAATGGAGAGCTCCAATACATTCATGGAAAATGGAATTAAGAGATTATGCAAACACTTTAAAGCCATGCATATAAGGGTTTGTTCAAAAAGTTTGTGAAAATTGGCATCTGCACTGTGGCATAGTGGCTAAAGCTGCCATATGCATCACCAACATCACATAGGGGACCCAGTTTGAGTCCTGGTTGTTCCATTTCCCATTCAGTTCCCTGCTGATTCACCTGAAAAATTAGTAGAAGACAGCCTAACTACTTGGGTCCTTGCACCCTCATAGAGGACCCAGGAGAAGTGCTATGTACAGCAATAGTAACAAATTATATAAGTAGCGCTTTGAATGAATAAGCACTGGGCAAATTAAAATGAAAAAGGGTCCACGGGGGGGGTGTCTTCATATTTTCTAATGATGGTTGTGATTTTTGATAGCATCTTCATTAAGAAAATTTCTTAAATTACTCAAATATTTAAATACCTGGTTAAATCCCTTATGTAGGTAAGCACTGCTAGCATTTTCATGTATTTCCTTTCTTATATTTTCTATGCCTCTTTTTGCAAGTTTGAGAAACTGCTATCAACATCATTTAATATCCTATTGCTTCCACTTACCATAATAAAAGCTTTCTGGAAATACTACAGGTGATATCTGTCTGATTGTGCACTTCCTTTGCCCTCTGGACGAGTGGGAAGAAGGTGACTGAGCTCTGTGTTGCATAAGGCAAGCTATGATTCCAGGGCTTGGTGCTTGTATAAATGTACTCTTCAAGGCCATGTTTTCCATCATTATTTTCTGTGTGGTAAGATGGTTATATGCCCTGACCATTTTGAGCTTACTTCTTAAAAAAAAAAAGTTGAATTTTATTAGAAAGACAGATTTACAGAGAAAAGGAGAGACAGAACAAACTTCCATCCACTGGTTCACTCCCCAAAAGGTCGCAACAGCCAGAGCTGAGACAATCTGGAGCCAGGAGCCAAGAGACGCTTCTGGGTTGCCCATGCAAGTGCAAGGTCCCAAGGATGTGGGCCATCCTTCACTGCTTTCCCAGGACACAAGCAGGGAGCTGGATCGGAAGCGGAACAGCCAAAACATCAATTGGTGACCATTTGGAATGTCAGTGCTTGCAGGCGGAGTATTAGCGAACTAAACTATTGTGCCTGCCACATCAAGGCATTTTTAATGATTGTTTCTATTTTTTTTAAGTCTGTGGGATCTATGAAGGCCATGTCATTCAAATACAGCTGTGGTACCTTTGAATTGTTAGGGTGCAATGCACGTGTTCAGGATTAGACAGAGTGAGTGAGTGTCCACCATTCAGGAACCGAAGACCTAACTAAGGGATTTGGATCATAGCCAGAGTCTGAGGAACCTGTTGTGGGAGTTGGTCTGTGATTCACACACAGCATGCTGGCAACAATGTGTAATGTGGACCTAGCCACAGGCAGAAGTGGCTGTTAGGAAACAGTTGTCAAGTGCGGCTAGGAAATGCTGGATTTCTGAGTAGAGTG